GGGAAATATGTCCGAGAACTGGAGAAGATTTAAACAGAAATTCACTATACAATGTTGCCTCAGGAATGTCTGAAAAAGATGAAAAGTTACAAACATCAATGCTTCTACACGTGATTGGCGATGCTGCCTTGGAATTGTATAATACGTTTGTATTTGCTGAGGGTGAGAGCATGAAGCTTGAGAAAGTGTTGAACAAATATGAGGAATATTGCATGCCGAAACGTAATCTAACGTATGAGAGACATAGATTTTTCACAAGATCTCAGTTAGTGCATGAGAGTGTTGATCAGTACGCAACAGAATTGCGGAGTCGTGCTCAGTCATGTGAGTTTTCCATGTTGAAAGAGAGTCTTATCCAGGACAGAATTATCTGTGGTATTTTAGACGATGGTCTAAGAGAACGTTTGTTGAGGCAAGATGATCTTACATTGGTTAAAACGTTGCAAGTATGTCGTGCGGCTGAACAAACTCGAACGCAGGCACAAGCGTTGAGTTCCGCAGGGGATACGAAAACGCCTCAATTCCGGTAGATTCTTTCAGCAAGACTAAGAAGAAATTTCCTGGTTCAAAGTCAAAACGGTCAGAACCTCAAGGTCGTACTAAAAGTGATGCATGTAGCAGGTGCGGAAACCGACATAGCAAAGACAAATGTCCCGCACAAGGTCAAACATGCAAAAAGTGCGGTAAGCAGAATCATTTTGCTAAATGTTTTAAAACCCCAGTAGCCAAGGTCAATGAACTGCAGCACTTGGAGGTAGATTCAGAAGGTTTCATGATTTGCTCTGTTGAATCAAAAGAATCCAAGGATGAATGGATAGTTAATCTACTAGTCAATAACCAGCCGGTTGACTTCAAGGTTGATACTGGTGCTCAGGCGAATCTTCTTCCTGAGACAGTATTTCACAAATTGAAACCAAAACCAAAGCTACAAAAAGCCAAAGTGATGTTGACAGGTTATTATGAGACAGATATCCCGGTCAAAGGTCGTTGTTACAAGTTGAGTACAAAGGGATCAAACGCAATGTGCCGTGTCTAGTCATTCCTGGAAATCGTCAGCCTTTGTTAGGATTACGGACGAGTGAAGACTTGTATCTGGTGAAACGGGTGTATCATGTTGAGAAACAAACTGAACACGGAACGGGTAAAAGTGTAGTTCAAGACTATCAAGATGTGTTTGTAGGTCTAGGTTGTCTTCCTGGTAAACACCACATCACATTGAGAGAGGACGCACATCCTGTTCAGCATGCATGTCGCAAAGTTCCATTTCCACTTCAAGATAAACTCAAAGACGAGTTAGATAAGATGGAACGAATGGACGTAATCACACGAGTTGATGAGCCAACTGATTGGGTTTCTTCTCTCGTGGTGGTGATGAAAAAGAACGGTCAGCTCAGGGTCTGTCTAGATCCAAGAGACCTGAACCGAGCAATCAAAAGAGAACACTATCAATTGCCATCAAGAGCTGAAATAACTGCACATTTTGCAGGAGCCAAATACTTCAGCAAGTTAGATGCATATAGTGGTTTTTGGCAGATCCAACTAGATGACGAAAGCTCCAATCTTTGTACGTTTATCACGCCATACGGAAGGTACAAGTTCTTGAGACTACCTTTTGGTATTTGTAGTGCTCCGGAAGTCTATCACAAGATAGTGCACCAACTGTTTGCACACATTCCGGGAGTTAACACAATGATGGATGATGTGATTGTATGGGGAACTACCCAACAGGAGCATGATGACAGGTTGAGAGAGGTTCTCAGCATTGTGAGAAAAATGAATCTCAAGTTGAACAAAGACAAATGCGAGTTCATTGTCAAGAAGCTCACATTTATTGGTGACTTGATCAGTGATCAAGGAGTTCAACCTGATCCAAAGAAAGTGTCTGCTATCTTGAACATTGAGAGACCGAAATGTCGGAAAGATGTCCAACGGTTCTTGGGTATGATCAATTACCAAGGGAAGTTCATTCCAGATCTGTCGACCAAGTCAGCAGCACTGAGACATCTACTAGACAAAAAGAATGTATGGACATGGGATCATGCACAAGAGGATGCATGGAATCAGCTGAAACAAGCTCTGATACAAGAGCCAGTCCTACATTTCTATGACAGCAAGAAACCAACCAAGCTGTCAGCAGACGCATCAAAGGATGGTATTGGTGCAGTGCTACTACAGCAATATGATCAAGATTGGGTTCCGATCGCATATGCATCTAGATCAATGACTGATGCAGAGACTAGATATGCACAGATCGAGAAAAAATTGCTGGCAATCACATACGCATGTGAAAGATTCCATCAATACATCTATGGACAACAAGTAGAAGTGGAGACTGATCACAAGCCACTTATTCCACTGTTTGTAAAGTCACTGGGTGACTGTCCCCTACGCATTCAAAGGTTACTCATCAGGGTACAGAGATATGATCTCAAGGTCTTGTACACGCCTGGAAAGTACATGTATACTGCTGATACATTGTCCAGAGCAGTAGATCCAAAGGCTGAGTTGAATGCTGAAACTGAGGAAGATATCAGAGTCTACGTAGATGCTATTGTCAAGAGCATGCCAGTTACATCGAACAAACGAAATCAGATTGTCGAAGAGACAAAGAACGATGATCAACTGCAAGAGCTGTTAGGCATCATCAGAAATGGTTGGCCGGAAACGAAGCAGCAATGTTCAGTTAGAGTCAGGGAATACTGGAACATCAGGAGTGAACTCTCTGAAGCAGATGGAATCATCTTCAAAGGCAGCAAAATAGTGATTCGATCCCACTACTATGAGAAGGTTCATGCTAAACAAAATCCATGAAGGACACTTAGGCATCGAGAAGTGTAAGAAACGTGCTAGAGAAATCATCTATTGGCCCAGAATCAACACAGACATCACTGAAATGGTCCAAAGTTGTACTTCATGCCTAATGTACAGACCTAAACAGCAAGCTGAAAGTCTACATCCTCATGACGTGCCAAACCGCCCGTGGGAAAAAGTTGCTGTTGATTTGTTCACGCTGAACAATAGAGAGTACATGGTCATCGTCGACTACTATTCACAGTTCATTGAAGTATGTACTATGACTTCTACTAGTAGCAAGGCCGTGATCAACCACATGAAAGCAGTATTTGCCCGCCATGGAACGCCATGTGAGCTGATGTCGGATAATGGTCCTCAATTTGCAAGCCAAGAGTTCCAGAGCTTTGCAAAAGAATGGGATTTTCACCATTCTACATCGAGTCCATATTATCCGCAATCCAATGGCCTCGCAGAGAATGCTGTGAAGATTGTGAAAAACTCATATTGAAGTCACAGCACAGTGGACAGGATATCCACAGAGCTCTACAAGTCTATCGCAGTTCACCACTAGCATGCGGAAAGTCTCCGGCAGAACTCCTCTACAATCGTCGACTTCGATCAAATCTCCCCATGCTTGACAGTTTACTCGACAATCAACAGGTCAATACTCGATCAGTGAGGGGAAGAAAGGAGGATCATAAGGTGAAGCAAAAAGAGCGATTCGACAAACATGCTCGAGACTTGTCAAAGCTAAAGCCTGGAGATCATGTCATACTCCAAGACATGAAAACCAACACCTGGTCGAAACGTGGTATTGTCAGGTCTGTCCAGGATCGAAACAGATCATACCAGATCGAGACAGAAACAGGAGAGATGCGTCGCAGAAACAGACGTCACCTCAGGCCAGTCCCACGTCAACAACAAGCCGAGTCTATTCCACTATCAACACAGGATGACTTCGAGCTAGATGACACTGCAGAAGCTACAGAGCAACCAGCATCTGAAGAAAGCTCAACTACGTCATCAACCAGAACCAGAAGCGGACGAGTTATTAAACCGCCAGATCGCTTGAACTTGTAAATAAAATGAAAGCGAACTACAGAGAAAGACTTTCGCGTTTTGTAAATAGTTTATAGTTACACACTTAAAATAGTTGGGCAAAAAAATGCCCAACTTTTAACCAACACTGAGCAACATACGGTCCACACAACTATTGGTTAAAATCTGCCCAACTGATGTTGGGTAATCAGTTTGCTATGTGGTTGGGCAAATTGAATTGCCCATCAGTTGGTGACCCATCATATTTTACCCAACTCTACAATTGCCTAACAGTTGGTTATATTTTCAGTTGGGTAATTTCTTGCCCAACCAATTTTACCCAGTTAGATATTGCCCAACCTTCTATTTGCCCAACTTTTGAGTAAGTTTAATGTTGGTTAATTAAATGCCCAACCAGTTTTTACCCAACTCCCAGTCTGCCCAACTATCAAAACACCCATCTATTGGGTAATAATTGCTCAACAATTTCTCTGCAACATCCATTTGCCCAACTCTCAAAACACCCATCTATTGAGTAATAATTGCTCAACAATTTCTCCACAATATCCATTTGCCCAACTATCAAAACACCCATCTATTGGGTAATAATTGCTCAACTATTTCTCCACAATATCCATTTGCCCAACTATCAAAACACCCATCTATTGGGTAATAATTGCTCAACTATTTCTCCACAATATCCATTTGCCCAACTCCCAAAACACCCATCTATTGGGTAATAATTGCTCAACAATTTCTTCGCAATATCCAGTTGCCCAACTCTCAAAACACCCATCTATTGGGTAATAATTGCTCAACAATTTCTCCGCAATATCCATTTGCCCAACTCTCAAAACACCCATCTATTGGGTAATAATTGCTCAACAATTTCTCCGCAATATCCATTTGCCCAACTCTCAAAACACCCATCTATTGGGTAATAATTGCTCAACTATTTCTCCACAATATCCATTTGCCCAACTCTCAAAACACCCATCTATTGGGTAATAATTGCTCAACTATTTCTCCACAATATCCATTTGCCCAACTATCAAAACACCCATCTATTGGGTAATAATTGCTCAACTATTTCTCCACAATATCCATTTGCCCAACTATCAAAACAACCATCTATTGGGTAATAATTGCTCAACTATTTCTCCACAATATCCATTTGCCCAACTCTTTAATTCGTCTGTTGGATAATCATTGCTCAACATTTTTTCCATAACATCTATTGGCTCAACTCTTTTTCTCATCTAAAGGGTAATAATTGCTTAACTGAAACACAAATAACATACACAGTAAACACATGTTGTTGTTTTCATCAGAAACGTAAAAACAAAACTTGTTAACATCAACTACAACATTACAATTTTTGGTGAAAAAAATACAACCTTTTAAAAAAAGTAAATGCAAATATAGCCCCTGTTTGGTGCAGCATGACAACTTTGATGTACACTGTATGTATTCCATGTACTCTGATTTCATACATGAATATGTGCATCATATATATTTTGTGGGTGTGGCATAGTGTTCATTTATCCTGACACACCAATACTCTGCCTTAGAGTGTTACACATGAACACATTTTTTTGAAGTAAAAAAAAAGAGGAAATAAATTCAAATCCCTCTAGATTATTTGACATGTGCAGAAGTACCACATGAAAGTTTGGCTATCTGTGATGGTGAACAGGTACTGATCAAATAACAAGGATACACACTGCCTACTATAACTTTTTGATTAGATTAAAGACAACAAAAATCAATTGACCCTACCTGCTATACTCAGTTTGATTGATTTTATTGATATTATCAATAATATCAATACAATTTTGCAAAATGTAGATAAAAATGTTGACTTCTCTACTTCTGCTTTGCGCGATGTAAATTAATGCATGCAGTCCATTCAGCAGAGAGTTCAGCGTAGGGTCAATGGACGATACACATTACATGAAAATTAATGGTATATGTAATTTACAATCATATACCCCACTTGCTTTTTTAAACGCAGAAAATATCATAGCTCATGTTTTATGAAGAAATATATCATTTTGATGTACGAGTTATGAAACAGTACTCTTGGGATTAAGACCAAACACGATAAGCATTTGTATACGCCAGTGCAAAAGATTTATAGCCAATAATATGTTTTGTATTTATACTTGGCATATATTCATTTGTTTTCTTAAACTTTCAAGGTGGGGATGTTAAGCAATGATTGGGATAAAACAATTAGGCCTTTATCATTTTTAAAATGTACACAAAGACTTCTGCTGTGTATAAATTCACTCTTTTTTTTAATATTATTCAGCGATCCTCACCCCACCCTCAAATCTTCAGTCTTACACAAACATGTCTAAATTATGTAAAATAATGTGCTGAATCCAACTCATAACAGTTTGTCTTTAAGGTTATTTTGTCCAAAATAATACTTTTTTCCAGTTTTTTTTCTCCCAAAATAAACTGGTTCAAGTAGCCAAAATGTGCTAAACGATGATGTGTCAGTTTCATCTGTAGGAAATATATCACCAGTAATCATCCTTGGCGTGAACACATCATGATGGCTTATGGCATGTTCATGAAGGCTCGGACCTCCCGCAGCTTTGGTGTAAGATGCTCCCCATCGGTAAACTGGAACACCACAATCTGGAGAAATTTCCAAACAGAACAGCTTTGCGGCTGATATTCGATATCCATCACATAAAGTGCCTTAAAGCACAAGTCGACTGCTTTAAGCAGTGTTGCGGCAGGAAGTATCCTCCTCTCTACTACGACGTACGCCTGTATTGGTGTGAGAATGTTCCCACGCACAACAACAAATGGCTGTGACCTGACTGCTTCATCAATGTTATCAACATAAGTCTGGATGTCGAGAACCTCCTGTAGTCCAAAGAGAAATCAAGAAGAAATCATTTGTAATTATATGGATTGATATATATATATTTGATGCTTGTCGAATGCTTCTGCTTATGAATCCACAATCACCTACAGGACACCCAAATTTGTTTATGCATGTTCATCCCTGTCCCATCAAAACATTACTGGGTATTCTTAAATATCCCTGCGGCAAAGGTCAACTGTACCCAAACTGGTCACGTTCAGAGCATTACATCAACTAAGCTGGAAGGCATATACAGCCTGTTAATATAAGCATGCATTTTTCACATGTCATTTGCAGGTTAAAGGACTTGCTTGCATTCATGAGTGAAATGCGATGTGATGACAAATCTGAGGCCATTTGTAGTTGTACCACAGATAATGACGAACTGACTTATTAAGATTAAAGCGCCTAGTGTTGCCCCTGCAGGGCCTCCTTGGGGACCAGCGTGCCCATTACTAGGAACTTGAAAATGGTTGCTTTTCAAGTTTTACACAAATAAAATGTTATGGCAATGCCTTATCTGGTAAGAACATAGGTATTGCATTTCAACCTCAATTTCATCAGTTGTCCTAGGTTTGAAACTCTTAACAAATTAACTATTGAATTTGTTTGTAATGAAATATGATTACTATGGCAAGATTTTAAACGCAAACCAAAATATATGCCTTACATGTCATTACTTTACCACCTCCCCAGCACATATACTTACTGGTTGAACGTCAATGAAGGACGACAATGTTTCTGCAGTGGTGTACGTTCCTCTCTTGGAATCTTTCCTTCCTCGGAACAAGACTGGGAGCATGTAGAATCCAAGATTGCTCTTTTCCTCTAAAAAGAGGGAAACAATGAAAGAGTTAAGTAATTAAGTCCCAATTACATATGAAGAAAAGGTGCAACAGCAAACAGGTCAATTATGGAACATCTTACAAAATGTACAGTTATATACAGCAAATTAAAAATAACGGTCGAATACAACAATTATTTTCTACAAATATGGGTAAAATCACTCAACGTAAATGTCAGTCAGTAATTTGGAGCTCAGCTTTCTGAGTAAAGAAAATCAAAATTGCACAAACTTCAGCATAGCCTTCCCAATGAGCTTTAAACCACCATCCCCACCCCAAAAAGCAAACAAACAAAACAAGCAAGTAAAAGTATGCTAAACCTTTGTCATGGAATCATGTTTTTATCATATGTTGTACATGTATTATATGTTTCAGAGCACTTTTATTTATTTCAGTTCAATTCCTTACAGGGGGGATATTAGACTCAATGTTTGGTCCTGGCCACAAAAATAAACATCATATAGTGTAATTGAAATAAATTCTTTTGACTTTCTCTCAAGTCATTTTCACTAATACTGTCAAATGTGTGTTCTGACACCACATACCAAGACTGAGTTTCCCAGGGTCATGAATGTTTTCGAATTCGGCTCTTGCACTTCTCCAGTTGCCAGTTTTCTCGGTGAAGTCCACTACTTTGTTACAGAATGTGGGCCACTTCTGGTACAGTGCGTTTGCTTTCTCTGGGAACAATTCTGCAAAATCTCCTTCAATCTGTAATTGTTAGGATAGTTATAGAAGCCAGATGAAAGGTAGGATATCTTTCATTTGCATCTTCTCTTTACCATTTTGCAAGGATTTGAATGGTACACACTAACAATTATCGGTTCAATAGGGATGCACGATTTCTGTAGGACCGTGTATCTCAGATTGTTAAACGATCCCTTTAAGGAGACTGCTAAAGTAAACCTGCCCATGCAACCAAAAAACAAAAAAGTTACTTCTCAAAACATGCGACTCTAGTTTAATTTAATGTCCTTTCTTGTCACATGCAGAAGAAAAATCAAGGTCCACATACCATTCCAGCATCGAGAAGTCTGGGATATGTGGTAAGAATGTTCTTCACACAACAGTCACTTCTCTTGATCCAGTCATGTCTTTTTGTTGCTGTTTGTTTCATGTAGTCCTTCACCATGTCCTCTGGCTCCTTGTTGTTACGCAGCCATTCTTCCATTGTCGTGATGTTATCATCGTTCACAGACTCAAGATCGGTATCTCCTGGATATAATGCAACAGAACAATCAACAATTAGCATGTATCAACAAGTTTTTGATGATTGTATTGGAAGGGGGGTTTTAGTTGGCATTGCTCATGCCCCACCAGTTTGTTATGGCACAGCATGACTTCATCAGACGGATCTGAATAACTCAAAACTTTAACTATATGAAAAAGTAGCCAGAATACCTTGCTTTTGAGACTCTGCCTCGTCTTCAGCTACTGGTACCCTCAGGGACTTCTCCTTTTTTCTGACATACCTCAGATGCTCCTCCAGGTAGCCTGTTGCTGGCCGTCCCTTGGCCCCCACGCAGTACCAGGCCTCCTGCTCAAATAAATTAAAATTCCTTCATAATTCAACTTCAAAAACAGTAATGCTCAACAACATTTGTTAAACATTAATAATAATCAAATAAAAGCACAATAAAATTCCAGTGTAAACTGTACATTTACATATTTTGTTACATATGTCAGTGTTTGCAATAACAAGGTTTGTCCTCTTAAGTACCTATTTCTAACTGCACACTGTTATATTCCAGCAATGTCATCAAGTCATTGCAAAAACAAAGTGAATGATGGATAATTCTGTGAATATCCATTACTCAATGGCATGCAGACAAAAGTCTAAATATTAAGAGATGTGTCATTACTGGATAATATAACTTATAAACAAGTGGTAAAAATAAACAAAAATATTGCACGATTTAGTGATTGATGCCATATTAGCTTTTCATTATTTGTAAGCTTTTCAGGCCTGTCTACTGTCAAATTTACTATTGCCAGAGATGCTCTTACAATGCTTGTGATAATGTGATACAACATGCAATTGATTGAGCATCTCCAATATAATAAATACAAGAATAACAAAATTGAGGAAGCTTCATAGCAAGTTACACAAAATAATATGATCCAGTATTCCAAAAGTTATTGCATAAACACATAATTTATTTGATTTAGACCTTAAAGTAGCTTATTGCTTCTGGCTCAAACAGAAACTTCTCATAAAATTTCACTTTCTTGTAAATGGGGTCTGTGGGGTAGGGACAGATGGAGGTATGGATGGACAACCTAAGAATTAAGGCACCTCCAAGTAATAAATGCCCGCTGTGGTAAGAATCAATCCATAAATCAGTCCAGAAAAAAGTGGTGATCTGAGCCATACCTGAGGTCACATTAAGGAAAGCAATTCATGGACAGGACTTACATTGCCAAGTGGAGATTCTGGATCTTTTAAGAAAGGAAAGCTTGTCACAATGGCATGGGCCATTGATGCCTTCACAAATGAGCTTGGCTTGGTACCATACTCCCGTATCAGGTACTGAGTCAACATATCCACAACAGTATGCCGGTCCCTTTTGCTGCAGAGATTTGTAGCATTGATGTTCCTTAATGCTGCTCTTCCCATGGTGGTCTCTCTCAATATACAAGCAATGTTCTGCAACAGATAAAGGATTTTTTGTTTAAAGATCAGTAAATTCAGAATAAACAAGTGAAATGTGACAGCATGCAGTCGGTGGGTATATCTCTGGCTGTCCGACCTCCTACAATAAGCCCATCATAAATCACTCACTGGGCATTCCTTGCAAACTTTGTTCTGATAAAAAATTTCAATGAAACCTTGAAACTGACCTTAGACTAGCTTAAAACCCATAACCCCAACCAAACATTTTCCATAACATTCCTTTATTCATTCATACCAAAATGTACCTACCAAATCATATCACTAGCCATTCTGCAGATGTAGAAATAAAATGGTATTTTTAGTAAAAACTTGAATAACCTTTGAACTGACCTTTCACCTTTGAGCCCTGCTGCTTGTCAGAAATACTGACAGACAGATAACTCCAAGACATAATGCCTCTGGCACCCTTATGTGTTGGAGGCATAAAAACTGATGAATGATGGTGACTCGACATGCCCACGCTTCAATTGTATCAGCCCACTATATACATAAACTTACGAAATGCACTTTCTTGACCCGTTTCAGGGGAGGATGTTGATCAGGACTCTTGGATTCTGGGGAGTCGTAAAGTGGCGTATCCAAACTGGGCTGGGAAGGGCTTTGTCTGGGACTCCACTCACTTCCTGTTACACAAGAGAGATCTGAGCAGTCATCTAAGGAGAACACTGATGGGCTTCTTGTCGACGTTGATGCTTGTTCCATGCTTTGTTGATTTGCAGCATGATACTACAATAAATAAATGAAAAATAATTGAACTTTCAATGTACATGTAAATGACTGATTATTCTTTACATTATTAATGACACAAACAGCCCCAGGTTAGACTTTAGTATCAAGTTTATTCCTTGAAGGGGAAAATCATTCTCACTGTTTCTGTACCCTTGTCCTATTTAAAGCAAACCCATAATTGAAAAGTGGTCACTCATGAGCCGAAGCTTCTTCAGTACATCTATAATATAATAATATCCAGTTAGGAACTTTCACTTTAGGCAGGAACATGCATTGGTAAAAAATAGCACATTTCCGGGGCCTCAATGAAGTACATATGCTAGAAAAACTTGGCATGAGTCATGGTACATTTAAGAAATTACAACATAATATGAATGAATGCAAATATAACAGACACATTTTCAGATACAGAAACAATGAAGTTAATAACGAGTTAAAAAATTCAAACCAGATATTTACTGTAAAAATTGTCATTGGAATAATCAAATTTGTTAGCAAGTCAGTACAGATCGATCAAGGTTAGCTTCTTAGCTATTTTTTCAATCAAAATGTGTAGAATGATACACTAAGAACTGATTCATAGATATAATTGTAATTGGAATAACAGTTTCTTTCTTTTGCTTTGTTTTGGTTCTGTTCTCTAAGACAAAATTTGCAAGTGCACCTGTAATGTCTAGTTGTAAAAATATATCACTTGCTTGCAACGGGTTGCCTACACGTACCTTCTTGTTCCTAGATGAATGAATGGTGCACCACAATATACAAGCAGCGCCCTCTTCCACTATAGGACTGGACAGCATTGACTGGCCTGTGATCAAACAGGTCACACCATTCAACAGCAGCTTGTGATTCCTCTCTGCCCACCTGTACTGCAAATGCTTCAACATGTCTGTTGAAGTACAAGGTCTGATACAGCCGAAGGAGCAGATACAACTTTTCTTGCACCACTACAATATGCTGAACACGTCCAAACGTGGGTCCATCATCATCAGTCCAATATAGAAGTACATCAACACCTGCCCGGAACTCATATCCATGAATGTCCACTTTCCCAGCAACTGTAACTTCGGTTCCCCTTCCACAGTTAATTTTTTTGCAAAGTGCCTCATCATCAAGTAGATCACCAAGCATTGCTGCAGCTTGCTGTGACACATTGATATCTTGGCTATCCAGTGACTGATTTGATACTGACCTGTAGCACCGTGCCATTTGGTATCTGTTAGCCAATGTTTTGACAATGTTTTGGTAGTTGCAAGATACACTGGCAATCTGCTTGAAAGGTCTGTGCATTGCTTCAAAACGCAATGCTGAATACTGGGTCAGTGGCCCAAGGTGTTTCAGTGCACGTGGGTAATGCACAAGAAAGTGCTGCTTCGGAGTTAGACTAGCTTCAGGGAAGAGCTGCATGAAGAGCCTGTGGTGATCATCAATCATTGCCTTCAGGACATAGATGGCAGACTTACTGATACTGGGACTCATAATGATTTTGAAGATGTCAATGATTGACAGTAAGAGTTCCCACTCATCACACATCTCATCAATCTTGTCTCCTAACATGAGAGGGATGTTGTATGCAAGGCACGTCATCTGTGCTGATGTCTGTCCACTGGCAGAATATGGATTCTTCAGTGATGCCTGCCTGATTGGGCTTGGTCTGTTTTTGCGGTCCACAAAGCCAAAATTGAATGAGGATATTCTACTGTTCACCTCATCCAGTGTTATGAAACCCTTCTGAACAAGTTTACTCAAAACAAGGTGCATTTCCAGGGGCAAGACTCCCTCTGTAAAATCATGCATTACATCTGGACATAAGTTTTGGGTGGAATGGTAGTAAGGCAATTCATTCAAAACTGTTGCATGCTTCAAGCCAGATTCTGACAAGGGCTTTTGAAGATCTGTATCATAGTTTATTTCATCACGGAGATATTGGGCATCCTCTTTTGGCTGTTTCTGAAGCAACGAGCGATGGCCTCTACAGAATCTACAGTAATAGTTGGCACGGAAACAGGTTGTACATCCCAGCATGGCATGAATGCCAAGATTGTCCCCTACAACTTGGAATAAGTAGGGTTTGACCCTACCCTCAAACTCTTTGCACTTGATAGTGAGTCCATCAGTCCACATCTGCTGCAGATCATCCTTGATTACCTTCAAAACTTCTGAGATGCCATATTTACTCAAAAGCGGAGATGTGATCATAGCTGTGAGCATGATATTTTCTAGCCTAGCCTGGTATTTCCTGGGAAGGGATAACACACTTGTATAAAAGGCACTTACCTTGTGTTTGCCGCGTTTTGACCCAAGCGGATTGGCTGTCTCAAACTCATCATTGTACAACAACAGAGGCACTAAGAATTCACAGTCTTGTCTAGCAGTAGCTTCCTGCCTTTTATAATAGTGACCATCTTTGAATGAATACAAAACATCATTATCTTTTGATCCTTTTTGAGACAGTATGGCGTTCATTACTCCTGGTCGCTCTAAGTATTGTTTAATAGTGTCAGCTAGTGGTATATATTGAAAGGTTTCTTTTTGTGTGCTTTGCAGTGGATCACCTGTCTTTTGATCAATTTTTGGTTTTAAGCAAGTTCCCAACAACACCTCACAAGGCTGAATGAAATCACCTTTCTCAGAGAAATATTTTTTCTGTTGAGTATCTGACATGAGCTCTGAAAATGGATTCTTTGAATTCTCGAATACATCTTGTATATCAGATCTCAGCTCACTGTTAGCTGCATATTGTGGCTCACTTAAGATATCCATCACATCCTGTTGCACAGTTTGTAACACAGAAATAACCAAATCTTGTGCGGTTTGAATGACCTTGTTGGTGTGTGAAGCAGGCACATTAGTCCTTGCCCTGAGTTCTGCTACAAACTTTGCTGCAATATCAGGTAGTCTCTCTGTTTGCGTTTCAAAAGAGACATCTTCCTGCTCACTGCTTTCTCCAACAAACAATGCCTTTTCCTGGTGCAGTTGTTCCAAATTCCCTTCAGTGTTGTTATTCTTTCCTAGAACAGATCCTTCATAACAGGTTTCACTTTGGTGATCTGGAACTGCTTTTGTAGTTGTGCTTGACGTCTTTATCCGTGCAGCGTGCTTTGAAATGAGATGTTTTCTATATCCCGATAATGTACGAAATGTTAGTCTACATGCCCCTTGCATGCATGTTATACTTACATTTTTCCCCCTGGTTGTTGTATGTGTGTATTTTAAATGATGGAATAGGCAAGAAATATCCCCCCTAATTAAATCAAGACACTGAAAGCATCTGTAACTATCCATAGTGAGATATTGTGCCACATCTAGGGCCTACCTCTGCACGCCACCCAGCGAGAAACTTCAATCGAGGTCCAATCTTGGGTATGAAGGATGTGATTATACTTTCACTTAGAAGGGGAAGGGTTTCCACATCAACTTCATTTTCTGGAGAAGAAGAGGGAGAGATTGATAAATAAGGCTTAGTGCAGCATAAACTGATTGTTTTCATATAATACCACAAACACACGTATGGTTGCGCAAATTAAACAAAAGTATATGTTTTAGATAATGATAAGCTGTAAACATTTGCTCATGTTCCAGCTAAAATATCTTCCATTTTGAATAAATCGCATAATCAATGTTTTTTGTTATTCCACAAGAGTCTATGAAAATCTGAATTTTCAAATGCGATTTTCTCGAAAATTTGGTCTTCGTATAGAAAACTTACTTTTAGATCATACTAGCGAATTGTATCAACTAATTGCTATTTATTTTCAGGTGATGTTACTAACATCCACACAATCAAATTAAGAATGGAAACCTTTTCTAAAGTCATACTAGTAATCACCTTAGTTTAGTCAAATTGTGCCTAATTTTTAACAATGTAGGGGCCTATTTAAAGTATAAAGATTAGTTGCATCAGCAATGAATTTGATTTCAAAGAAAGTCATTCAACTTACCAAATGAATCAGAATGATTTGAGAGTTAGCATAGCGGTCAATATATGCTGATTGGTTAATTAACATTACTAATTCATTGATAATCATATGTGTCTTCTCCATGTGCACTGTCATGCCTATTACTTCAACTTTAAACTGCCATACCGGTAATTGTTTTGTTCAACCTTTTGCGGCTGCCATGATATTGTCTGCATTAGTAGCCATGTTTCTCAGCTTTAGTATGACAAATAACCTAGCTTTATCTGACCAGGGTTTCTCAAAAAGTCTAGCACTCAAGCCTTTCACAGGCCACTTACAGTACCATACAACCATATATAAATTATAGTGTGTTACCTTGAATAGAGGCAACTGACAATTGTTTATCCTAGAAAAGATAATTTGTGGTGTTTAATAATTCTTTTGTACAGCTTATTGTTCAGTGGTGTGAAACATTAAAAAAAATGCATGTGCTGGAACATTTCACTGATATGAAGCAAAATAGGACAGTTAATCCTGTACTAACGAATGTCCTTCCTCCATGTGCACCTCCATCCCAAAATCGAATCAGTTCGTTGGCTTTGCAACTTGCAAGATACATGTACATGTCCCAAGTTTGGATGGTAATCCGTCCATCGGTTCTAATGATTTCATTGAAATCTGGACATGTAGTAAAATAGTGTACAATTTTGTGGGCATAATTTGGTGGCTTAAGCATCTGTAATTTTTCCATATTTAAAAATTATTTTCAGAAAAAGATTTTTTTAAATGAGAAAAAATGTACCCATGTTAAAAATTGTGCCCATTCGTGTACTACAGCGAGGTCACTGCAATTTCGAAAACCACCACAGCCTCTTGGTTTTGAATTAGGCTATTAATATGGGCTAAAATGTGGGTCAACTGCCTTTTAGTTATGACAAGGAATATCGCAATAGCACATAATTAATAGCCCCATTTAAAACCAAGAGGATGTAGAGTCTATGCTCTGTAAAACAAAGTTAGGCAGATGTTACTGGGCAAATCAAAGTTTGGCGCGTTTTTGTCAAATAATTTCTCCCAACCATTTACTGTATGAAGTTACCTAATAAAAGGTCAGAAATAAGTTGGGTAGGTGTTACTTGGTAAAACTGATGTTGGGCAAATTTTGTCCAACAATTGGGTTATTTTCTACCAACCATGTAGTTACCGATGAAATAATTGGGTAATATTTTTGGGCAAATTAAAGTTGGTCATTTTTGTCCAATAATTGGGTTATTTTCTACCAACCATGTTACTGATGAAATAATTTGCCCAACTAGTGTCGAATATACTACACATTATGGTGAGAATTGGGTGAATTTCCTATTGGGGTAAATTTTGTTGGTTAAAAGTTGGGTATTTTCTTTTCATCCAACACTGGGTAAATCATGCAAAATCTTTAATTTACCCAATAGTTAGTCGGACACATAAGTGCCCTCATGTTGGGTAAAAATTGGGCACTTGCCCAACATTTTTTTAGAGTGTTTGAATTTCAAAGTCCTGTAGAAAATGAAAGGGCAAAATCCTTAACATGGCAATGGGCAAGACAAATTGTCTCACTTTTTGAAATCTAGACTTCTAGATCTACAGGAAAATGAAAGATGATCTTCCACAAAATAATGTTCATAAAATTGTACATTATTTGACAACTTCAATTTTCTGATGAATCATTCAGTTCAGTGTTGATTATTAAATATAAGTAGGCCTAGATCTAGATCTAGACCTAGACTAGATCTAGTATAGTAATACCAATTTCAGATAACAGAGATATAGACCCTAATTGTTCAAAATTACACCAGTCCCACGTACTGTATTACTATCTGGGTACACACCTACAAGTATGTGGTCCAATGTATTGGACCCACAGAACTCTTAAATACGTATTAAAGAGTTCTGTGATTGGACCCCATACAACCCATGATCCATAGAAAATGGAGGGTATTGTGTTATGTATGTATTGTAGCAGGTTTTGGCCTTTGGGTTTTGTAAAATCTTGAACAAAATATTTTTAAATATTCATTTGTGATCTAAAATTCATGGAAACAGTACAATTTGAATTTGATATCTAGACCTATATCAATCAAATATTAGTTTGGATTAGTAACACATGCATTAAAAGAGCAAATTTGAGGCAAAGTTTAATAGACCAATTGAATTGAAGCGTATTCATTAACCATTGCTGAGGCATATAGAACTAGTCTACATGTTGCTCATGTGTTATGGATATGGGAACAAGTCTACAGCAAGTACCTGTTGATCATGTTCTAAACTTCTAATCTCAATAAGATGTGAACGTACCTTCTAGTATCTTTAACACTGACGGACATCCATCCCCACCTTTGAACGATTTTGGTGAGAGGGTCTATGAACCCATCTTCACTTGAACTATCTCCGCAGCAGTTGTCGAGCTCCATTTTTAGACCCTCAGGCTCTAGCATGCAAGACTCCGATATGATGCGTATATACGTACGTACGTACGTACAGTACAGGCTGCTAGTTACGTTGGTGCATCATATAGCTCGAGCTCCCGGGCCGGGACGGCCGCGCCGGCTATACCGAGTAAATAGAAATAGTACTGCGCATGGCATGCTGATCGCGAGCGACCAGGCCATGTGCGCGCTACCCCAAGACCAATACCAGGCAAACTTTACCCAAGTCTGGTTAAACGTAAGTCTAGTCCCCATCGAAGGTTTCCACTGCCATTTACGCATGCGCGTAATTGACGATGATAGCGTGTACGTTCCATGATCATTACTTACGTAGATTATGTAACTCTATAGGCCTACATGGTTAAGATGGCTCAGTTTTCACAAAAGATAAATCTTGGACTCTTTCAGCATCAAACTCGCACAAATTCATCGTCGCTTCAACACTCTGTTATTATAATTTTAAAATAGTCTAGAAGTAAATGGTTACAATTACAGGAGAGATAATTTCAATTTTTCATAGCAATATTTACACAGCATATTGTGAGCTAAAGAAAATTGAGCTAAATATATTTGGTAAAAGGCGGTGGTCAATTACTACCCTATATAAGCAAACAAAAAAAGGCGCAAAGTGAAATTGGGTAAGTGGTGATGGGTAATTATTACTCAGCATATGAGCAAACACAAATATGGGCAAAATAAATTGGGTAAGGGGCGGTGGTCAAATAGTACTCAATGTATGAGCAAACAAAAATTGAGCAAAGTAAAATTCGGTAAGTGGTGATGGGTAATTATTACTCAGCATATGAGCAAACACAAATATGGGCAAAATAAATTGGGTAAGGGGCGGTGGTCAATTATTACCCAATTATGAGCAAACAAAAATTTGAGCAAAGTAAAATCGGGTAAGTGGTGATGGGTAATTATTACTCAGCATATGAGCAAACAAAAATTTGGGCAAAGTAAAATTGGGTAAGAGGCGGTGGTCATTTATTACCCAATATATGAGCAAACAAAAATTTGAGCAAAGTAAAATTGGGTAAGTGGTGATGGGTAAATATTACTCAGCATATGAGCAAACACAAATTTGAGCAAAGTAAAATTGGGTAAGAGGCGGTGGTCAATTATTACCCAATTATGCGCAAACACAATTTGAGCAAAGTAAAATTGGGTAAGTGGTGATGGGTAATTATTACTCAGCATATGAGCAAACAAAAATTTGGGCAAAGTAAAATTGGGTAAGAGGCGGTGGTCATTTATTACCCAATATATGAGCAAACAAAAATTTGAGCAAAGTAAAATCGGGTAAGTGGTGATGGGTAATTATTACTCAGCATAAGAGCAAACACAAATATGGGCAAAGTAAAATTGGGTAAGAGGCGGTGGTCATTTATTACCCAATATATGAGCAAACAAAAATTTGAGCAAAGTAAAATTGGGTAAGTGGTGATGGGTAATTATTACTCAGCATAATTATGAGCAAACAAAAATTTGAGCAAAGTAAAATTGGGTAAGAGGCGGTGGTCAATTATTACCCAATATATGAGCAAACAAAAATTTGAGCAAAGTAAAATTGGATAAGAGGCGGTGGTCATTTATTACCCAATATATGAGCAAACAAAAATTTGAGCAAAGTAAAATTGGGTAAGAGGCGGTGGTCAATTATTACCCAAATATGAGCAAACAAAATTTGAGCAAAGTCAAATTGGGTAAGTGGTGATGAGTAATATTCCTCAGCATCTAACAATTACCCAACTACTTGGTAAATTGCTCTCAACTCCTTGGAACGATGTTGTTGCTAAATGTATAATAATTGGGTAAATATAATGCCCTGAAACAGATTGGGATAAAAATTACCCAACTTTGGAAACGATTTCTCGACCAACCATCAGTTGCCCAACGAAATTTACCCAACTCGCAGTGGGAATGTGCCAAAATTACACAACTACAGGCAAAAATTACTCAATCCTAATTTGCAAAATAATGTTGGTAAATTTCTAGGCGAATTTCTACCCAACCATCAGTTGCCCAACAAAATTTACCCAACTCGCAAAGGAAATGTGGCAAAATTACACAACTACGGGGCAACTGGTTCCCAACCCTCATTTACCAATACTGTTGGTAAATATCCGCCCAATAATTAAGTAAAAATAATTGCCCAATATTGGTTAAAACACTTAAATGCTTAAATGGGTAATAATAGCCCAGAATAACGAATTTTTTTAACCAACCAACAATTACCCAACTAAATTTACCCAACATTTTAAGAGTGTACAGAGTTCAACTTGGACTTTAAAACATAACTGCAGGATTGCATGAGCATGATATATATATTTGCATGTTATAGTTTAAAAATATAACCGGATTCAATTAGTCACTTTGATTACAAAAATCAACAGATATCACTCAACCTCAACGGAGAATTCCAGTATAGCGAATCGCAACCTTGAAAGATATGAACTGTCGCGTAATAAGTTATATATTTGAAAGCGACAGTACTCCAGCTTTAAGGGACAGAATAATGCCCTAGTACAGTCGCGAGTGTACAGATAGTCCACCCTGTCACTCTGTATACAGTTTAAGAAGTTTTATATATGTATATGTAAACCTCTTTTAAAGAAGGGAGGTGTAGTGATAGCTACATGTAGTTTAACAGAGTCTGCAAATACAGACTAGCAAGTATAACTTAATATAGAATGACCTGCAACCCATGACTCATGCCAGGTCATGTTATGAAACAATGAGTACTTGTACAGGAGATGCTACAAAGATGTCTGACTGACACAGAGTCTCAATAAAGCTATACAACTTATTAGTTCAATCAAAGCTCTCCAACTGGTCTTTTATAAGAACATAATACTATCGACTTTCTCTTTCTGTCTTTCCTTGTGATATTCCTTGTTTCTTCCTTCTATCACTTTCTCTTTTGTTATTCCTTGTTTTAGCTATCGACTTTCTCTTTCTGTCTTTCCTTGTGGTATTCCTTGTTTCTTTTTGCACAGAAATAAAAAACAAATTAGGAATTATAGTGATTACCATGATCATCATCAATATCATAATCATTATCTAACTACTAGGCCGCTGCGCTAAGCTATGTGCACACAATATCATACTTGCCAACCCTTACGAATAATTCGGACTCTATTCCTGGATTTCTTAGGACATGAATATCCGGAATAGATCTATTCAGACGCGCGACGCCTTCTCTATGTATACGCGAGGGCTTTGATGACTACAGAGTGTTGATTGATTGATTGATTTTTATTCGACAAGCTTCCAACATACAACAATATACAATAATAACTGATCAAAAATAAGTCAGCTTGAACAGGATAACCCACGAAAGCTCAATAGCTTATTTCCAGTGGGGTCCCTTACAGACATGTATAAAATTAATAAGTTAAAATAGTAATATTTACAGACAGATAAGAAAATTAAAAGAACTACTCATGAAAGATAATAATAATAATAATAACAACATTAAACTGATGACAGAAATGATATTAAGTACAAGAAGAAAAAGAAGAAGGAGAAGAAGAAAAAGAGGAGAAGGAAGAAGAGGAAAATAATGATGAATTTATAGAATTTCTATAACGTACGAAAACATAAGTATATACAACATGAAAAAGTATGAACCGACAGAAGAATAAAATTTCGATCATATAACATGTCATTCACTTCTCTTCTCTGACTGTCAAGTATTAGGTATTCCTTTAATTTCCTCTTAAAATGATCATAGTTTCCTATTTCTTTTACACCATTGGGAAGGGAATTCCAATGTTTTATGGCATTGTAATAAAACGAATTTCCAATACTACCTACTCTTTCTGGTAAGTTAAAGTTGAATCGGCTATTTCTTGTATTATAACCATGTACGTCAGTAACAAGATCGAAGTTGGATCGAATATAATGATTCGACCTAGTATGATATATTTTATGCACGTGATGCAATACGAGTTGTTTTGATCTTTGGTCGACTTCAAGAAAACCAGCTTTAGAAAGTTCGCTGTAGCCAACATGATTTCTTGGACCAGAACAGTTGATAAATCTCACCATTTTGTTCTGTATAATCTTCAACTTCTTTTGATCTGACTTGTTTATGTTACTATACCATGCAGGGTTAGCATAGTCAAATAAACATTGAATAAGAGCAAAACAGAGTGTACGTCTTGCTTTTAAATCCATACAACTTTGATATCTGTACAAAAATTTCAGACGAGAATTTGCTTTTTTTTACAACTGATTCTACTAAAGATGAAAATGAAATTTCGCTAGCCAACTCAATGCCTAAATACTTCACAGACTCTTTTCTC